TCCACGCCATATGTCACGACATGTATATTATGTTAGTATGTTCACATTATGCCTATGAAACATTGATAAGCCATGTATATTAGTCATGAAAGATATAATAGTATATGTATGCATGTTTCATAGGAACGTTATGACATAAAAGGATATGAAGCTATGATTTGCATCATAAGTTTATACAATGATTTGAAACTATGAGATCTTATGCATGTCGTATGTGACGTGCATCATGATCCTTTCTCGTTATGATTACGACGGATGTGTACACTATGATATTATCCACGGTCCTTTCACTCTATAGTTTTTAGTAGCATGATTGTGTGTTAGCTTGTAGTCAAGCCCAAGGGAATATACGAGCTTGCCCGCTGGGTCAATATGCGTAATAGGTCCGACCATGATTGTCTATGAATGCATTTTCTGATCTCAATAGTGGGACTACTTATTGATTAGACCACTTATTGATTATTTAAAATACTCAAGCCACGTACTACCTCTTTTTCAAGTAAATGTAAGACACCTTTTACGCCCAAGTTATATTCTTTTAGTCATTCATTTAATTGCAATTAAATGCACACCAACCACATCTATTATTTAAATCAAGTATGTTGAATCATTAATACTTTTTTTTTAACTCAACTTAGTAACCTCTCACATGGGTTCAATTAAATCACTTTTCTTTCCCCTCTACTAAATTTATTAGATATCCACTTGAGACACCCGAGAAGCTTTCTCTATCTCTATTTTCGTGTCCTATTTCAATTCGGGTTTTTATGAAAGTTTTCATTCATTTTTTAGAATATACGAATTTGTGTAGTATTAGATCGTTGGTCAGACATGCTTAGCTGATCTTTTTAGATGATCAGCCATACTGGGACTAAGACACATCCAGACTCCCATGGGGCAACAGTGGAAGAATCTTGGACAATGGTCGACCAATCCAACAGTCTCGCGTGAGTGAAGAAGGGGAATGCTGCTTGTAAAGCTCTTTCGTCGAGTGCGCGATCATGACAGGGCTTGAGGAAGAAGCCCCAGCTAACTCCGTGTCATCCGCCACAATAAGACAAGGGGATGGACAAGTGTTCTTCAAAATAACTGGATGTAAAGGGCACATAAGTGGTGAATCGGGTTGAAAGTGAAAGTCATCAAAAACTAGTGAAATGCTATTGAAACCCATTCACAGTACGGTAGAGAATAGTAGAATGTCGTGAGGTGATTTTTCACTCGAGTCAAAGACAGGCTAAATGTAACAGGAGTAAAACTTAAAAATTTGACCTCTTAGCTAAAAAAAACATACATTTTAATCCGATAAACTATGCTCGAGTTTGCCAACTTCAATTAATTAATTTTTTTTTCCAAACAATTCTATAAAATAATTCCAAATTTCTTACATTGAAATATCCTACTCATCTATGAAACTAATGATAGTGGCAAAACGTGCAATGGCGGAGAATCTTCAACCATCCGCCGCTTCGTAGAGTAAAAGCTTCTGGTCCGAGCGAACAGAACAAGCGCCAGCAAAGTTCCGACCAGACACAAGCAGCCCCAAATCAAGAAAACGGCTCTGTAACACTCAACTCCGACGCATTTTCCGGCGCCCGCCGGCACTTGGTTCCGGTAAAGAAACCCGGCGAGAGACCCAAAAAGAAACGAGCCAAGAGGAATATTGGCAACCACCAGGTTATGATTTATAGAGAAATTATCAGCCCCAAATAACTCTGTTGTTACCGACACAGCAATCGACGTAATGGCGCCCGTACACCCTGCAATTATGGCCGTGCTTGTACACAAGCTCGTGTCCGTCGGCCATAAAAGAAGGAAGAAGCCGCCGCACATCGCTCCCAACAGCGCCACCATCCATCCTGGCTTCGACTTCATCAACTTCCCTGGGAAGAAATGGTCGAGAAGCGACGGTGTCAGGCGGCCGAAGAAGCCGAACGATGAAGACAGAGACACCAAAGATGAAACGCCGGAGCTCCGGCGAGACTCCGCTATCTGCCCCAAATTGTTTAAGAACACCAACCCAAGTGTTGCTCCGAAGAAATAAACCCCAAAATGTAACCAAAAGTTCATTCTTTTCAACATCTCTTTTGCTCCGATCTCCTCCATTGCCGCCTCAACGCCGCCTCTATGTTTCTCCGGTTGCTCTGTTTTTCGTTTTACATTTTCCGCTACTGCAACAGCCAACGGCAGGAGGAGAAACACCAAAATCCCGACCAAACCAGTCAATGGCGACAGCTTTGTCGAAATCGATCCCAAGCTCGTAAAAACAGCAAAAAACCCAGTAGCTATGGTTATCATAAAGATCAAAAAAACCCCAATTTCCATACCTCCCTGTTCTTCCACGACATGAACTCTAACCAACGGCGACACAAAAACACAAACACCCAATGGCAAAACAGAGTTCAAGAGAAGAAATGTTTCTGTTCTTTTGGACGACCGTTTAGAAAACATTGATTCGACAATATCTGTATAGATCTTAGCGCTTAATCCTTGGTAACTAGTTGATATCCCCACAGCAACATGGCGATGAGCTTTAAAGTTTCTAATGGCGACAATGTAACAGACAGTATTGATCCAACAAATGCTGTTTCCGGCAAGAACAGTGAGCAAAAAGATGACCCAATAAGAGGGGTCGTGTAATTGGTTGATAATGAAGAGATATTGGATGCCATAGCCGACAAGACCAAGAGAAGAACCAATCACGAGAACCAACCAAAGGGGTAAAGAATTAGCAGCAAAGCCAGAGACGAACCCGAAAAGCTTGCCGGCGTCGGAGGCAAATGCGAGATTGTTGAGCTGCAGCTGCGACATGGAGAGCTGATGCTTGAACTGAGATGAGTACGAGGGGAAATTGAAACTGGTTCCGTTGATGGATTGAAGCCATATGATTCCGACAAGACTCAGCCATTGAAGAGCTCTGGAAGACATGGAACAGAGCAATGATTGTTCTGCAATTTCTTCCCGGAGACAGGAAACAGGGGCGGCGCTCGTTTAGGCTATGTATCCATCTTTGTTTGAGACGAACATGGAATTCGAATATTCAATAAGAACTGTTTTTGAGATTTATGGAAATTTTATTGAATTTTATTTGCAGAAAAGGTATGTTTTATTTTATAATTATGGTGGAAAAACATGTTATAAGACACGTAAATAGCTGTTTTTTTTTTTTAATAAGATTTTGCCTGTTTTGGAATTGGTTCAGTGAAAAATAATTACTGAGGTTAAAATATTCACCACTTTCACCTTCTACTTTACTATTTATGTTGAAATTTAGTTTATTTACTTTTTTTAGTATTTAAATTTAAATTATATTAAGTTTTAATTTTAGTTCAATAACTTGTTGCCGTTGTAGAGATGTTCGTAGGACGAGTGAAGATAGTGATGCCTCGTGTCACGGTTGTACTTTTTAAATCGTGCTGCGTTGTGATTCTGACACGATCATGACAAGGCTGAGAGGGAAACTGAAGTTTTATTACATGTTTTTTTTTATATCTTTGCAGATTCGTCGAACTTTAAGCGAGGTTCTCCTTAGCCGACCAAACACAAATGGTGCGAAAACTAAGTTTGTTCGACCATACATGTTGTCTTTTACGTGTATGTTCACTTATTGTAATTCTAGCCGACTTGTCTCTATTCTAGATTAAGTTCCAAGACTCAACCTTGTTTCTATTCCAGGCCAAAGTTATTCAAGTGTAACGTTGCATCTCAACTCGTTGTTTTGATTCTCAACAATGTAGGCTACGCTTTGTGATGTTATCCCAAGTCTTGAGATATTATCGGTCTTTTCTGCTTGCTCCGACATGCTTATTGAGATCAATCCATGAGTCAACTTTAAAATCGCTAAGCCTCGGACATCCATTCATCTTAATATTATCGAGGCATGAACCCTTTCATGTCCATGTCAAGTCATTTATGCATCACTACCAAAGAACGACCCTATATACTGACCTTTAACTCAAAAGATGAAGCATAATATTGACATACTCATGTCATCTGACACTATTCTTAAAACCTCATTTCCAAAGGAAGACATATAAGATACTAGTATTGCCATAATGCACCCTGAAGATACCTCTCTTTTGATGGTATCCGACACTATTGTTTGGTCTTATTTCCTAAGTTGTTCCTGTTCCCCTACGGTGGATTTGGGCCGTTACAAATGGTATCAGAGCCAGACACCGAATAATGAGCCAGCCTTCTCATTGTTCCCCGAAGGAAGGTAGATACGAGGCAGTGTGCTAGTAAGACATTGGGCCCCAAAGGGGGTGGATTTGGGGGCGATCCCACGTCGATTGGAGGAAGGAAAGAGTTTCAGCGAGGACATTGGGCAGCCCCGAAGGGGGGTGGATTGTGATGTCACACATTGGTTGGGGAGGAGAACAAACCACCATTTATAAGGGTGTGAAAACCTTCCCCTAGCAGACGCGTTTTAAAGCTTTGAGGGGAAGCCCGAAAGGGAAAACTCAAAGAGGATAATATCTACTAGCGGTGGATCTAGGTCGTTACATGTGGTGTATCTGTATGTTGTCCTATCGAACTTAACTCCAGAGTTGTTTACTAAAACTCTAGCATTCACGATGACATGTTGTCTCTAATTTTGCTTATGTCTAAGCCTTTGCTTTTATGCACATTCTTCTTGATGTGTCCAGATGGGTGCCACTTGCGTGTCGCCTCCTTGTTTGTCTGCATGTGAGGGTCATAAACCAGAGTGAAATTAAAGTTTAATCTTTATTAATGTTCACGACATCTAAAAAGAATAGCTACCAACTAAATTATAAAAATAAAATAAAATATACTATTAACCAAATCCAACAACAAAAAAAAAAATGTAATAGATATATAAAATATATCATAAACTAAATTAATATTTAAATCAAATAGTTGGTTTTAAAAATAAGTAAATAAATAAATAAATAAATAAATAAATATATATATATATATATATATATATATATATTTTAAGATAAAATTTTTAAACACAAAAAAATTAATATTTCATATTTAAAAGCGCGACCCTCTGTTGTTAGGGAACACAAGAAGTTCGTAGTTGTTCTCCGGCTCGCATGTTCTAGACCAGACCCTGAGCGTCGATCGTATTCTCCGATCGCTTCGCATATGGCCAGCATCGGCGAGAGTTCTTCTTCTGCTCCCAAACCCGCGGACGAAAAGCCAGTCTTAGTTAGGGTTAAGCGCAAAGCTTCACAGTCTCGACTCGATGCGTTATGTGAGTTCTCTTCGGACGCTCTTTTTCATTCACTTCATCAAGGCCTTCATCTTGCTGATTTTAGTTGATGAATCGCCTTTAAAGTTCTGTAATTTTTGGATATTAGCCGTCTCTTTTGATTTCTAACTATTCACGTATCAAATGGAGTTTGAATTGTTCGTTTTCGAGTTGACGTTGGATAATTTGTATGTTGCAGGGCTGGAAATCAATGAGAGGCCACTGAAACGACCTCTTTTGGATTTTGACAATTTGTCTATTTCTGAAACGTTCAAGAAAGGTCTGATAACTTCTGAACCTATAATTGCGTTCTTTTCTTTTCACCAATCACTCTATAATCTACATAGGTGAAAAGAGGACACAGCAGTTAGTAGCTATCTATGATTCTTCCACAAGAATATACAGTAACTGCTCCTGATTATACCCTGGTGTTTGCATGGCTAGTGATTTTAAAAAATACAAACAGGATTCTTTGTCCCTTCATAAGAAAATTAATTGGATGGATTTCATTGTTGTTATTCTTTCTTCTTTTTCCGTGAGGGAGGGGTGAATGGATTTATTTACTTTACTGTTCTTGCCAATTGATTAAATGTAAACTTTGATAGTTCGATCAAAATTGTACTGGATTTCTCAGTTGCATGGGTCAATGAAGTATATTTAAATATGGCTATGTATAACTCCGTCCCTGATGGAATAGCTTTCTCTTGCATCAGCGGAACTTAAAACTAAGAAGATTTTTGTACAGCATGTGGAGACACTGAGAAGCTCTGAGGCCTCAGTTGACATTATTCAGTCGTTCGTGGTTAGTATTGTGGTCAGTTATTAATCTCCTTCTTGGACATTTTAACTAGCATCTTCATCCCTTGCTGTTTTCCCTTTAGGCACCTGATGCTGCTGGCAACATTGAAAATAACCTAAAGAATGAGGAGCGAAGAAGAAATTTTAAGAGAGAGAGTGTATGCTGTCCTGTCTGTTGTTTGTTTGGTTCTTAGTTGTGCGGTACTTGTTGAATAATTTTCTCACTTTATCTAGTGTTCTGCAGCCAAGACAAGAACAGCTGTTGGTTAAAACTAGACAAGAACAAGAGGTCTGGTCTATGATGACTTTTCTTTAATGCTTTTTTTAAAAAACGGATGTAATCGATGTTTTACCTGAAGAATTTTTGTCAGATTAGATTATAGAGCACTTATAGAGGCCATTCTCTAGTCTGACCAAGTTTTGTTCATATGTTGAACTGTTATATTATGTTGGTAACATGGTTTCTTTGTGCTACTGCTTTCTCCTTTTACTAGGTTTTGACAAAAAAAGCTAGATTTGAGCAAATATGGAGAAGTAGGAAAGGGATTAAAGATGCCAAAGACGACCAATTACATGACGCATATCATATTTATGATATTGTTCGTCTTGATACAAATGAAACATCAAGTGGAGCACCAAAGGCGGAGTTAGTTCTTTAGTTCTGTCATTATGATATTGTTTGGTCATGATATTCTATAAGATCCTCAATTATGTGGCCAAATTTTCTTTCGGTATTAATGCAGCTGTATGACTCTGGAGGATCAAAGTATGTTATCAAGTTATCTGCCTTTACTAAGAGAGTTTATTCCAAGTGCTGCTGAAGAGATCGAGTCAGATATAAATGCAAACACGATGAAACAAGATTGTAAGTTTCATTTAATCCAGCAGTCTGGTATTTTGCTTGCAACTGTAGTGGTAAATAATGCAACTGAAGTCCTAGGCAATTCAGAACAAATTTGCGTTGGATGAGGAGAATAGTTATCCTCCATTTTCCATTTGTTTTCCAGTTCTTGCCTTGCCTGAGTTTCCTTCCTAGCTCACCCTTTTGTTATATCATTTGTATGTTCGTAGGGCTGTCGTTACTGTAAATTCTTATTGCTATGTCTGTGTTTTCATTTGTTCTACAGTGCCCGTCGATGATTATGTATATGACTACTATACTGTGAAGAATAATGTGCAGATTGCTGAGGACGATGCCTCTAATCCATTTCCTTTGTGCGTTATTCTCTCGCTCTCTCTATGTTTTCCCTCTCTGCTCTGGGTTATACTTTATTTTATTTGTTTGGATATCATTTCACAAATTTTTTCAGGATACAAGTCGACGACTTGGATCTATATGATGGGCCTGATGACTCGGACTATGAAAGTGATGATTCAAATGGTAAGTAGGTTTTTCCCTCTAGTTTAGAAACCTAAATTATAACTAATGTCTGTTGTTTCTAATATCTTTTTTGGTTTCAGCTGAAAACAATCCACACTTCGATTACCCGGATGAGGCGTCCGAAGAAGAAGAGTTGGAAAGTGAATCTACAAATGAAGAATCAGAAGAAGATGATGAGGACAAGCAGTCCTCAGAAGCTAATGGTCTAGAAGAGGACGACCTGTCAGAGAATGGAGTTCAATTAGATGAGGATGAAATATATGGTGATTTTGACGAAGGCGATGGCGATAGTTTTGATTACGATAGTAATGGAGGTCACGAAGAGGGTGAAGAATGCAGATGGTCCTACCGTTGAATTTTTGGTATTATAGGACAGCTTTTTTCGACTTTGGGAGAGGGATGTTTGTTCTACCGCTTGTCCTATATCAGGTATTACCATTTTCCTTAAGTGAGTTGCTTAATAGGGAGAGGAATGTGCTTGTAATGACTAGGGATGTTCCTTTGGAGATTTAGAGGTCAAAATACACTTTGCTTTGCTACTTCAATAGAAATTAAAAGCCCTGTAGGCCTCCTTTGGTAATATATTCCTGTTCTCTGTTTCTTGTTGAGAAACAGATCTGTCGGGTTCTTGTTTCTAAAACGTTTCCAAAATAGACCAAAATCTTAGAAACTTTCTTTGATATGCTCCTTCCCAACTTTCCTATTTTCAGCAGATTTCTTCTCTCTCATGCTCACCCAGCCACATCGGTTAGGAAGGAACGAAGCATTCTTTACAAGGGTGTAGAAACCTCTCTCTAAAGGGGAAGCCCAAGAGGAAAAGTCTAAAAGAGGACAATATTTGCTAGCGGTGTTCTTTATAAGGGTGTAGAAACCTCTCTCTAAAGGGGAAGCCCAAGAGGAAAAGTCTAAAAGAGGACAATATTTGCTAGCGGTGTTCTTTATAAGGGTGTAGAAACCTCTCTCTAAAGGGGAAGCCCAAGAGGAAAAGTCTAAAAGAGGACAATATTTGCTAGCGGTGTTCTTTATAAGGGTGTAGAAACCTCTCTCTAAAGGGGAAGCCCAAGAGGAAAAGTCTAAAAGAGGACAATATTTGCTAGCGGTGTTCTTTATAAGGGTGTAGAAACCTCTCTCTAAAGGGGAAGCCCAAGAGGAAAAGTCTAAAAGAGGACAATATTTGCTAGCGGTGTTCTTTATAAGGGTGTAGAAACCTCTCTCTAAAGGGGAAGCCCAAGAGGAAAAGTCTAAAAGAGGACAATATTTGCTAGCGGTGGGATTGAGTTGTTACAAATGGTATTAGAGCCAGACATCAGGAGATGTACCAGTAAGGAGATTGAGCCTTGAAGGGGGTAGACTCGAGGCGGTGTGCCAATAAGGACATTGGGTCCCGAAGGGGGTGGATTGAGGGGGTCCGCATCGATTGGAGAAGAGAACAAATCCAGTGAAGACACTGGCTTCAAAAGGGATAGATTCTTAGATCTCACATCGGTTGTGAAAGAGAACTCTTCACTGGCTTCAAAAGGGATAGATTCTTAGATCTCACCTCGGTTGGGAAGGAGAACGAAACATTTTTTATAAGGATGGGGAAACCTCTCCCGACGACAACTTAGGTTGTTATATCACTTCGGTTGATCTCGAGACGGGGCCTAGATTTTGGTTGTGGTTAGTATAAGTAAGAAGAACAAGTGTATTTTTTAGCATAATTAGCATCCAATTATGTTATTTTGGTACCTGAAAGAACAAGTTTTCTAAGTGGGCAATGAAGCAAGTATTCGGATTATTTGATATCTGAGTTCCACCAACATTCCCTCAACCAGTTGATTGATTGGTGGATACTGGCAATATAAGTTGTAGATTATTACATTCTTGGAAGTCCCTCATCTCTGTAGTTAGATCTTGTGTTAAGTTTGATTTTTAAATTCTATAATTAAAATAAAATGTGTATAAATAATCTACTAAAATCCTATCCATCTTTTATAATTGTACTGTTTTCAAATAAATTATAGTATTTTCGCTTAAAATCTAAATTAATCTTTAATTATCATTATATATTATTTCAATAAATATCCAAAACATTATAATCTAACTTGTTTTACAAAATAATATATAATTTAATATAAACTCAATTGTTGAAAATAAATGGAACTAAAAAAAAATTAAATTATTCAACAGAAAAATGTTTTATACACCCAAAATTATATTAAAGTAATATATAAGTTATCAAGTGGCCTAAAATTGTTTCACCAGCACCTCTCGATTAGGGATGTCAATCTTCATTTAAACGTGGAATGAAGAACCTCACCGTTCATCCAATTGTAGGATAGGTCTCAATTAGAGATGTGCATTTAACATGAAAAAGAGAAGTTAACATAATTTGGGACATGTCCCGGCTCTGCCTCACCGTTCATTAAATTGTAGGGTAGGTCCCGATTAGAGATGTGCATTTAACATGAAAAAGAGAGCAGAGAGATTTTTTCTATTATAACTTAACTGGGGACAAGATTATATAAATCAATTCTGTCTCTGCTTCCGAAAATTATATAAATCAACCCCGTCTCCGCTTCCAACTCAATCAAATCTCTTCTCCACTCCGTCTCATCCTATATATCTATATATGTATATATATGTATATGTGTGTGTTTTTATATTTTTTAATAAATTTATATTGAGAATTGAAAATTATGTATGGAAAAGTTGTTTGGAACAAATATTTTTATATTAAAAATAAGAAAAAATTGACAGCTGAAATAATATTCTGCGTTGTTTCTTCCTTCCATTAAGAAAAGTAAACTTTATTCCGACATTCTTTATTTTCCTCCTCTTCTCTTAATTTTCTTCCAAAATTTTCATTTCATTTTCTTGCAAATCCAATTGATTATGGCTAAATCTTCAGATCCCGCCATCTGCGCCGCACCTCTCCCCATTCCCGTCGATTTGTTTCTATCCAAAAAACATCCCGACCATGTAACTAGTTCCTCCGGCGATATCATTTTTAGACTCAGTCGTCAATATTTGAAATCGTCGTCAATTGACAAGATTGTGCTGCACGACGCCGCCGCCGCCGCCGCCGGTCCTCTCATTTCAATTCATCGCGTTAACGTGAGTAATTCAGTCTACTTTTATCCTAACTTTCACTGCTATAGCTGTGTTTAGTATACTGCTGTGATTCATAAGTTCCTAATCATGTGAAGAGTTGGAAGCCTCCAATTCTCGGAAGCTGAGTATTATCGGTTAATTTTGTCGCGATCGTATGAATAAACAATTAGACAAGATTCAGCATGACAAACAACATTTTTCCTTTCTTTTACTCCGCCTTCAGGAATTAGATCCGTTAAATTAATACGAAAAAATTGGGAGCAAGTTTTGCTAGTGTATTACTTACGTGGTTCTAGTGTTCCTGTTCGTAGCTGTTACTGTTACAGAATGCTTTAGAATTTTAGGTCATTCAGTTTGTGTATCGATCCTTTCTTGTACGGTTTTTGACTGTTATGTGCCTTATTCTTGTTTAAGATTTTAGGATTGTGATCGGCTGGGACTTGTTAATAATTACTTTGCATTTGGTCATTATCATTCCATATGAACTCCTGAAATAGTTGCAAGATAGTATTCTGCTAGAGTTGTTAAAGCGCAGGAAGGCTTCCTTTTTGCTGTTTTTCTGAAATAATGAGAACAAGTTTGCGTTGGTTTCAGAAAGAATCTTGGCAAGGCTTCAAGGGGGATATTGGCGAGCAGGACTCGCTCTTCAAAGTGCAAAGAACACTCAACAAACTTAGAAGAACTGAATTCAAAGTCTTCCTTGTGGGTGAAAATTCAGACGAATCAAATGCTAGCTTGGAGATGAAAGGCTTTCCTTTCCAGAGATCCTGTACTATATATAAAGGCAACACTATAGTGGCTCAGGTACTGTATAGCAATAAACATATGGAAGAATGTTCTTATAAGGCTGTTCATTTCATTCCTAAGCATGTTGCTAACTCGATGCTAATTGCTATAGCCTAGTTACTACAACATTCAAAGAGTCATAATTGATTAGATCATTTTTAATTTTGGTTTCATATTCAACTTAAACACCAATGCCCATCATTTAGATTGCCCATCAGAAGCTCATAATTGTTCTTATAAGGAAGAATGTTCTTATGAGGCTGTTCATTTCATCCCTAAGCATGTTGCTAACTTGATGCTTGCTATATAGCCTAGTTACTATTAACATTCAAAGAGTTATAATTGAATAGATCTTTTTTAATTTTGGTTTCATATCCAACTTAAACACCAATGCCTATCATTTAGATTGCCCATCAGAAGCTCATAATTGTTATTATAAGGAAGAATGTTCTTATAAGGCTGTTCATTTCATCCCTAAACATGTTGCTAACTTGATGCTTGCTAATTGCTATAGCCTAGTTACTATTAACATTCAAAGAGTTACAATTGATTAGATCATTTTTAATTTTGGTTTCATATTCAACTTAAAACACCAATGCCCATCATTTAGATTGCCCATCAGAAGCTCATAATTGTTTTTTTTACTTAATCACCCATGCCATCAAATTAGATTGAGCATTCAACAAAGATACCAACCCTTTCAAAATAATGGCAACTTGTGCAAGGTGAAAGGCTTATGGATGATGAAGTCAGTAAAAATAAATCATCAATACCTCTCCTCTGAGTCTATGTTAGTGTCTTTCATTTGCCACATCTTAGAAAGCTATGGTTCATTGGCAAAAAAGGGGGAAATTCTTCTGAAATAAACTGAATTCTTATTGCAAAGACATTGCATTCCTTCGTGCATAAACTCCAAAGAATCATTTGCATTGGTAACTAAAGAGTTGTGGTGATTATTGTTTTTTGATGCAGACAAGCCTGATGCACAAGCTTCACCAAATTTGCGTCAGAAGAGGAAGATTTCGACTAACCATTTTTCCTGGCACTGTAGATCCATCCTTGATTGTGGCTTTGATTGTAATATTCTTTGATGGACGAATATAACAGAACTGAGCCATAATTCAGAAGATGCTCATCTTTATGATGTTTGAAAAGGAAGATTGAATGCAAGAAGAAAAGAACCAAAATCTTGCCAACTAAAAAGGCAGCTCCAGAATAAAGATGCAAAAAACAAATATTAGGCAAGACTTTATTGATGAATTAAAGAGTTGCTATGTTTGTAAATGCTTTTTCTCAATAGGGAATTTGTAAACAAGATTAAAGATTTGCATGTGGATTTTTTTTTTTTTTTTTTTTTTTTTTTTTTTTTTTTTTTTTTTTTTTTTTTTTTTTTTTTTTTTTTTTTTATTGGAACTCAACTTCAACTTCTCCTCATGGACTAGCTTTATGGTAAAGAACACTTGCACATTTTTTTAATAGTCTGTCCCGGTTGCCTCGAATCGAATCACAATGAGTTCCAAATGAATTTGTTTGTGTCGACTAAAATGATTGGATTTCATAGGATTTCTTTGACTTTTAAGAATGTGTATTTGGAACGAAAAAGTTCAACGATATTTGTTATGGTTTGAGTGAGAACTAACTCCATAGGCATGATTCAACTAAATGAGAGGAATGCCACAATGCCTTAATCATTAGCTCATTGAGCTGAAATAACGATGGGACCATACAAACCATATATCAATCTCTCCGGAAAGATCTATTCATTTGTCCCATCACAAAGCATATACATTCATACCTTGGAAAAGTAATATAAGCATGAGATCCACTCTTCATAAATGTAGGTGAAATCATACATTTGTTTTGTGTTACGATCATGCTTGTCCAAAACGTGTTACCTGTGACTACGTGTCAGATTTTCCAATCATACTTATCTAGGACGTGTTGTCCATGGTCTCATACCCGTTCCAAATATTTTTTACTTGCTTTCATAGTTTAAGTCTTTACTATTATTATCATGTCAATACGGGATGTATGACTCTTCACCCAAATTATGTCTACACTTGCCAATGTTAAAATGCCCCAAAAAGATGTGATTAGTTGCCAACTGTTTCTACTCGGTTATATGCTATCAAAGTTATGGGGGTAGCTTATTCACTTTTGGTTATAACATTGATATCTTTCAAATTGTTTTCAACGCATTTCCTTGCTCACGTTTTCTAAAATATTTCTCTCAAATGTGACCAGAGACTCGATCTTATGTCAAAATTGTCCGTAAAGTCCGACTTACATACAGCTAACTTCTTCACCAAGTTAAACAAATGTCGTACAATCGTTGTCTCATTACCTCAAGAGTGCAATTGTGACACTTAGTTGTCTACTACTCTGACTTTGTTATTGACTTAAACATCAGAGTCGGTTAGACACGACATCATCTGATACTCAAATTATCCTCTTGCAAGTTGCTTCAAGTCGTCGTCGTCGTTCGGCATTGCCCAAGGACAGTAGACCGAGATCCAACATGGGCAATAGTCATTTAAAATTGTTATTATTATTTTGTGTTCAAATAAGGAAATAAAATATTAAAAAAGGCAAGGGAAAAGTGAGAATTAAACCTTTGGCGTTAGGAGGGAAATACGAGTCCGACATAGTTTTCAGTGTTGGATGATGAAAGTCCCACATCGGCCAATTTAGAGAATGATCATGGGTTTAGAAGTGAAGAATACTAACTCCATTGGTATGAGGCCTTTTGGGGGAGCCCAAAGCAAAGCCATGAGAGCTTATGCTTAAAGTAGACAATATCATACTATTGTGGAGAGTCGTGTTCGTCTAACATGGTATCAGAGTCATGCCCTAAACTTAGCCGTGCCAATAGATTGACAAATCCTCGAATGTCGAACAAAGGACTCCAAAAAGAAAAAAGGAGTCAAGCCTCCTCGAAGGTACGAAGGCAGTCAAAAATGACTAAGACTCCAAAGGAGTCGAGCCTCGATTAAGGAGAGACGTGCTTCCCTAATTTAGGGAATGATCATGGGTTTAGAAGTGAGGAATACTAACTCTATTGGTATGAGACATTTTGGGAAGCCCAAAGCAAAGCCATGAGACTTTATGCTCAAAGTGGACAATATCATATTATTGTGAAGAGTCGTGTTATCTCTAACCTTCAGCTGTGTGACCTTAGAACTCAATAAGGGTTGAAACCTATAAATTGGAATTGCATTCTCGTCTCCCAGCGAATGAATACAACACAGAAACCCATTTGTTTAGCCGAAACGCTCTCTAATTCATAAGCTTTTCGCCAGGAGGCGGCGTTTCTCGTTTCGTCGCTGTTACTCGAGGCGGAGCTGAACCCGACTAACCGATTTCAGGGGGAAGGCGGCGGTGGCGGTGGCGGTAGCGGTAGCGGCGGCGTATCGATACTCCTTTACCAGACCTCTGAACCTCATCGCGTTTTGAGAACTTCCCCCTTTCAGTCGGCGGACTTCCAATATAATCCGGATTTCCATCTCTATTCTCAACTTTCTCCTCTTTCTCGGATTCTCAATCCCTCTTTATTTTTCACCTGTGCTATTGCCTGTAATTTGAATGGGTAGACCCAAGGGAGACGGTGCTAGAAGCAAGGCTAGACCTTCAAGCAGCAGGTTGTTAACTTCTCTTCCATATTTACGAAGATCACCGCTTTCAGTTATTCCATTAGCTAAAATTCTTTTCTTTTTGTTCATATTCCTTTGAGAAATTCAACTTTTCTTTTGCACACAGTTTGGCTGCGTCACTTCTGCCATCGGATTCCGCCGCTAACGCTGCTGGATTCGGCGGCTTTCTTGGTAGTTACCGGCTTGATTCTACTCTCACTGGGGATGATGCAGCATCTTTTTCGGTATGGTTGTTTGGATTGAGAGTTGAGACATGATAGATATTATTGTAAAGCTGCTTGATTAATGAATTTGTAATCATTGATAGGACCGTTTTTTTTTATTATATTTGTATGCACGCAGGATATTGATGGTGAAGTTGCACAGCACTTGAAGAGGCTTTCAAGGAAAGACCCAACCACCAAGGTAATTTATATGTAGTTATCTGTTGTCTTTCATCTACTGTTAGGCAAGGCTCTTCACTAGGAAATAAGTAGTTAAGAGCTTCTGACGCACGGATAATAAGAAGCTCGTCAATGTATTACTCTTTTAAGCGAAAATGCGCTATCTAATGTTGAGTACTGGTTGACACATCTCTTCCAATTTTCAACATCACTCCAGAGCCTCTGTGTCCAGTTTAATTCTACCATCAAACTAAAAAACTGTGGTGCGTACAGAATATTAGTAGGGTACTAAAAAATTGATTGGGATTTCTGTGTAACGGGCCTGTGGTTATTTTCTTAGTGGAAATAAAAGGAAAAAAAAAAAAAAATTACTGGCTTGGTGTATTTTTTCCCCCCTTTGCGATCTCCACAATTGCATATATAAATGCAGTATTACACTTGTACAACTTCTCGTTGTTTAAGTGGTTGCTTCTTGGAATGTGATTCTTTAACCGCACTCATTCATTATAGTATCTTTGCGTAAATTTCAATTTATCTAAACAATGCCACCCCCCATTTAAAACTATCTGAATGTTATAATAATCATTGATTAATTATAGTGAGTACTCTTTTCACTCTTTTCATGTAAAAGGCGTGGAATCGTTTAAGTGTAGAGTTAGTTGTAACAGTCATACATTTGAAAGCACCATTGTGAGCCAGAGTGTTGGTTAGGACCATTGCATCAAAATTTTACTTTTTGTACATACTGTAGAGGAAACTCGTTGAGATTTTATTACCTTTTTTTTTTCGGTTAGAATTTTAAGGGTTCTTTAATAAGAACTAATTTGCTATTAGATTTTCAACAGCTCAAAGCATTGGCCTCTTTATCCGAGTTTCTTAAGCAGAAGTCTGGGAAAGACGTTGCGTCAATTATTCCACAATGGGTACCTCTCTTTCCTTCTCCATGTTCAGCTAATCTTGGCTTTGCATGGATGACTTATGAATTCATTCATTTTCATGTTTAATATAATTTTTGTTGGGTTGCATACATATACATTAGTGATTCTCCTTTAATGTGGTATAGTCATTAGAGTGTTAGGGTGATTTGATATAGAAACCATAGGGGAAGGAGAATTGAGCTGTGAGCTGGAGTATAGAATTCCTTGAGATGGGCCTTGTGCATATTATATACTAATTTGTTTCTTATGGAATAAATGTATGTATGTATGTATGTATGTATGTATGTATGTATGTATTATGTCGGTATATAGACATACTATATATACTTTATATTTTTGTAAAGAAACAATTTCATTAAAGTTTCGTATGATAATATAAGATGTTACTATATACATACATTCATTCATATATTTGTTTTTTGGTTGAACTGTCTTTAGATTAGGTTTTTATTGTTGGTTGTTTTTTTTTGGATGCCACTGTTTGCACCTTTTTATATTCCTAAATGGAAGCCTTCATTTTTTGTAGGAAGGGGAAAAAAAAAATAAAAAAGAAGAAAAAAAAGAGCTCTTAGATTTATGAGACTATTCAAGGAAGCTTTAAAGTTATCTAGAGTTTTGAATATAATTAATCCATTCTTATGAAGCCAAAAACACCATGACCTTCACTGAAACCCATGATGTTTTCAAGCTCTCTGTATGCTACAAATACCTGATATAAAAAAAAAAATCCTTCTAGGTTCTATAAGAAGCACACCTCCACAACTTTTAACGACCTGAGAAGTTTCTTTGGATTCCTTAAAATCAACACCTCTCAAGCTCCTAATAGACTTGACAAAATCCTTGTTCATTTTGGACAGTTATTACTATTATTTTCTCTCCCTCTCTCTCTCTCTCTCTCTCTCTCTCTCTCTCTCTCACAGAATCACAATTCAATTCCTCAAGAAGCCTCTTTTTCTTCTAGTCTTCAATCTTCTCATGTTCCCAGACAATATCATGGACCACTAAGATTCTCTTTGAGCTTATCTGGATTCCATTCGTTTGTGACCAAAAGCTATTTCTTGATTGCCTTATTATTATTTAGACTATTGCTTGTTTGGAGTTTTGGAAGGTGTGGGCATCATTTCTTCATGAAGCTACATGTCCTATAGTCCCTGTGTCCCATGCAAGCTGGGGCATTCT